GCTTAGATGTACATGGGCAGGCCGTACATCGCGCTCCAGTCCACGCCCTGGAACGACGACATGTCCACGCCCGCCAGCGAGTACGCCGCACCGAACTGCGGCAGCGTGGGCGTGGGCGCGGGCGCGGGCGGCGCCACTAAGGTGCCCGGCGTGGGCAGCGCGTACGGCGCGTAGCGGTACGCGTGCGTGCCTACACCCACGGCGCCCACCGCGCCCACAGCGGGCACGGCGCCTACGCCGCCGTACACAAGGCCGCGGCCGGGGCGCAGCACGAGCCGCTTGCCGATGGCGAGCGGTGCGGCGGCGACCGCCTCCTTGGGCTGGGCGCGCTTGCACTCCACCTTCTTGTTCTTGATGGTATGGAAGTGTATGTCGCAGACTCGCTCCACCGCCTCCTCCGAGTGGAAGGTGACGAAGCCGAAGCCGCGGTGCCTCTTGGTCTGTTGGTCCATCAGCATCACAGCGTCCTCTACAAGACCGAACTGTGAGAAGTAGGCGCGGACCTCGTCCGCGGAGGTGTCCTGTCCCACTCCGCCGACGAATATCTTCTTGGTCTTGGCGGGGCGCGGCGCGGACTTGGGCGTGGCGTGCTTGGGGTCGATGCGCTTGCCGTCGAGCGTGTGCACGGGCACGGCGAGCACCTTGTCCACGGAGGCCGCCTCCTGGAACGTAATAAAGCCGAAGCCGCGCGACCGCTGCGCGCGGCGCACTTTAGTACGCAACACCAGCGCCGAGCTCACTCGCTCGCTAACTCGACGGGGATCTAAATAATGGCACTCGTTTACAATGAAACAATCTGTTAAGTGATCGAGTGGAGCTGTATGTACACAAACTAAGAGTCGGGACGGGTCGGGTCGGGTTGTAACTAGAGCTAAGGTAAGGTAATACCAAAGTAAGTTGTATCAGGCAAGAGGAGACTCGGCTAACAGTTGTGTGGCGTACAGCGTGCTCGCCGCTCTAACAACAACTAGTGCTATTTAATTGATGATTATCTCAAAATCTCCTAATCAAATGTTAAATATTCGTAAAGAATTGTAATAACTAATATTTGTGTAAGAGTCGTGTGTGTTGCCATGTCGTCGCATCGAGTAAACAATATCAACTTTATTTGTATAAAACAATTCAAAATACTTCGATTGTATTGTAACTATTTGATGGATAGCATTAGAAGGCAGTACTCAATAAGTCTATAATAGCAATAAATCTGTGATAAATTCTACAAATTTAGATAGAAATTGCTACCAAATCGGATATAATTATCAAAAAAAAATATTTTCCATTGTAATAAAATACAATTCTACCGGTGAAATTGTAACAAAAGAAATTAACATAATTTACACATAGGATTTTCTTTAAACTTACATTTAAAGTTACTAAAAAATTACCAAAATGGAGCCATTACATGGCAACATCGTAGAACTAAAAAACTACCCGAGTTACTGTTAGTAGAACTATAGAGAGCATTTAAGTGCCTACGCATATAGACATTTGTTAGTGTGTCTAGCATGCCAGTCTCATCTAGATAAATGATTTGTTAGTGTTCCTATATACATACATATCAACCATAGCCCAAATGTACACATTGTGTCACAAAACACGTTTTTTTTTAATATTGCCAATAAAAAAACATTATTACTCAGTCCTATTACTCGATACGATAATCGTAAAGGCAGACATATTTTAAAATATTTTGTATCGATAAACATAAAGTTAACATAAAGGAGCGTCGGTGACTCAGGGGTCAAGCATTTGACTTGCAATCTGCAGGTCCTGGGTTCGAATCCCGTTATGTACCAATGTGTTACATATGTACATTTATCCTATATTCTTACGGTGAAGGAAAATATCGTGATGTAACTTGCACATATCTGAGTAGAAATTCAAAGATATGTGTGAAGTCAACCCGCACTTAACCAGCGTGGTTGACTATGACCTAGTCACATAACTTAGGGTAGCCTCCGAGCCCCTCAGTGAGCTGATGATGAAACATAAAGCTTTGATTGGTAATTTAAATAAACTAAACAACGACGTAGTTAACTTTTAGTCCGCTTTTCCGGTGTCCGGTACATCATTTAAAGTAGTTCATACACCGACATTATGTGAGAATCAATCTTTTTCGTTTAATTAGTAAAAAATCTTACTAATACTTTGGTACTAATAAAATGCGAATGTTTAGATGGATGGATGGATGGATATTTGTTTGAAGATCCATCAATCTCCATTTGATTAAGTTAAAATTTGTCACAGATGTAGAACATATTGTGCAAGAAAACATAAGCTACGAATTATTGATTTTATTTCGCGCGGATGTAGTCGCGGGCGAGCGCTAGTTGAATAGTAGACAAACAGACAGACAGATAAAAAATCAGATAAGGCTGATTAACAAAGTACACGTATTAGAAAATTATTTTATATCAATACGTAAGGAGTAATAAGAGTGAGTTTTTAAAACTTGTTTGTGTCACAATAATCTCCCCAATAATGACATTTATTACATTATTCCTACGCACTACCTATTCCAGACAACCTATTGCCGCAAGGCACAAGCTGACACTGACCGAGATTTGAGCTCACGTCGGCAAATCTTCAACTACCCTCCCTATTCCGCCTTCTTTGGACGAACAAAATATTTCTCATATACAGCAATCTTCTCAACTACAAATAGAACACCTAACTAGAATTTCTTGTTTTATATATTATTATATCTGAGTGTCGTCGAGACCTCGAAGTTACATTTTTAAACTAAAAAAGAAAGTATAAAAAAAATCCGAAAGACGTAAAATCCTATAAAAATAAATTTTATAAGCATTGTTATCGACGAGACAATCAGGAACAAAACTCAAATATTTTGCACGCAAATAAGACAAAAGTGGCGTAGCGAGACATTTACGTAACAAGCCAGTATTGAAAAAATTACTATTTGATTGGTACAGTCAGGTTTGTTCGCGGTGTTACACTTTTAAAAAGATAATCGATAGAAGGTCTGTTACGCCTTGAAATAGTACAGGGAAATGTAAAATAAATAGGTAAGTCGTGAAGTGTGAAGAAATTGTCCTGTAATTGATACACCGCTAAAGAAGACAATTATAGGAAAGGAAATTAATTTCATACCCATTTCTGAACGCTTATTTACCCTCAAAATACAATTATGGAAACTTTTTTGGTTTTATTAATGGAAACTTAGGAAAACTTTTAACAAAATACACTCCTAAATCATAGCTCCATATGACAATTTTCTATACAATGAACAGTCCTAAACGGGAAATAATTTTAAATTCTTAAACTATTCACCGCAAAACAAGATGACTGTACTTTATCACTATTCCTGACTATCTCGTCTTATCCTTCTACACCACTTGTCATGTGACTCCCCTCACCTGTGTAACAGGGTCCTTCATAATCAGCACATCAGATACAGGTCCAAACATCGCGAAATACTCCCGCAGCTTCTCCGAGCTTGTCTGCCAGCTAAGACCGCCCACAAACAGTTTGCTGGGTGATGGCGATGTGGTGCCTGTTGAAGCAGCGCCACTGTTACCCGCCGTGTTGACTGGGGTAGACCGTCCCGAAGACGGTGATGTTTCTGTTGAGAGGGAATCTACTCAAAATGGTGGTTTATCAATGAAAAATTGTCTTCATTTGTTAAAATGAGACCAGATAAATAAAATATTAAGGTATTGTGAACTAATCCTAGCAATGATAATTTTAAGTGAGGATTTCTTTTTGTGTTTTGAACTGGAACTGATATTATACAACTATTGCTGTTAATAGACAATCAGAAGATTTGAAAACTCAAGCTTTATGAAATTAAAATAGAAACTTGTAAACAACAAATATTCATACTACAGAAGTTAAAACATCTATTCTTACCCCTACTGTCTGTAAATTCATAAAACTAGTAAAAATAGTTTAATTGGTATCTTATTTGAATACAAATTTCTACTAATTTTATTTAGCAGTCCAATTCAAGAGTATTCTAAATTATTGCTGGGCAACAATTCTTGCCACATTTAAAATTGTTAACATATTTGTTCTTTGTAAGCAATTGATAGCAACACATAAGGAAATTAAACTGAGTTACAAATTACATACATTACAAACATAAATTCATAACAAATTAAATCTTACTTTGTAAGCCTCATGGAATAAAGTGGCTTAAATTTATAATTCAAAATTTGAAGTTTGCATTTGGTATAGAGAAACTATTAATTTGTAGTCAGTATTTAAATAATTGGTTTGACATAATGTTGTTATTATTGAATAAATATCCTTATATTTACTACATTTTTGTGTTGCAAAGATGAATATATTGTTAAACTTACTGATTTGTTGTACGGCAATTTGTTGTTGTTGATGCGCCGCCGCAGCCGCAGTCGCCGCGGCGTGTGCGGCGGCCTGCGCGCTTAGCACGTGAGCAGTCAGCTCACCTCCCACCAGTCCACCTTCCAGTACCTCCACGCCGCCCAACGCACCGCTGGAATACAGGCCCATCATCTTACACCGATCAAAAATAACTACGCGCCTAAATCAACAACTGCGCGACTATCGCTATCGACCGTAACCGAAATCGATCTACAATTTCGGACAGAGAATCGTAAATTAGATACACTTTCACGAAGTGACGCTTTGTGATTGAAAAAAAAAGTAAAAACCACGAAGGAAAAACAAGTGGCAGTAGCACTTCTGCCAGTATCATTTTGTACAAAAATTGATTTTAAAATTTTAAAAAATTATCACACAACATAAACGTTTCAATTACATACACGAGCATATCCGTTTGCACGTAATAAACTTCTAGGAATTCCATTACTCCATTGTAATAAGAACTGCTATTATAAATTAAAATATTTTTGCAGTCATCAATTATTTGTCTAATAAACAATACTGTCAAACAATAACAACATCAATACGCCATAGTTTATCTGTGTTGCGATCTATTGACAGTCTTGACTCTTGACCGTGGTGAAGTTAGCTTATTCAAACTTTAGCTCATATTTAAATTAAACAATACATTAAAATACAAAACAATTAAATAAATTAATACTTAATTATTAATTAAATAGCTTACGGATTTGGCAATAAATATTTCTTTCGTATAAGAACTGCTTACGAAAAACCGTTAAGAGTGGCTAACTTAATCCCGGTTAAAGAATTTTGATTTTAAACTGACACAAAATTGAGCATTTTTCTATAAAACATCTAAATGAAAAATATCTATAATAAATAATTATCTTATGCAATTTCACGTTAAGAGATAATGCCGTTACGGTTGAATGGCGTCGTAGTTGCATTGCACTTTTTAAATAAAATTGTGTAATGTTTACTCCGATCTCTATTATTTCATAACAAATATTGTGTGAAACGGAACTACCAATTTCCAATAAATTTGTTAAAAAGTTTTATCATAGAATTAACAACGAAATTGTATGATTTAATAATTTCGTTTCCACAACACAATTTCGGTTATATTTATAATTTTTTAAATGGCAACCACACCTGCGTCTTCAAAACTTTGCGAAAAGGATTTACATAATAAATGTTTGTAAAATAGAATCAGTATTTCTGCTAATCTCCCTTCACAAACTTACGGCACGGACGTATTATATTTTTTTCCACACAAATTTCTTTCCAGCAATAAATCAGTGTGGTGGGCAATTTATCTTTGGGTAGAACATAATGTCAGAGAGAGCTTAGACCCGGTCCGTTCCTTTATCACTATTCTTTTCATAGTGGTTTTCATTTCATATTAAACTGAATAATACCATTCAAATAGATTTGCGGTCTTTTGAAAATCTTTGAAATATTGAAATTACAGTCCTATGAAAAGTGCAATACGTATAACTTTTGGGCATGTAATAAAATATCATAGCGTCTTACTATAACTTTATTTATCTTACTAATATAACTGCGAATGTTTTGATTTATAGACGTTTGTTTGAAGAAATCTGAAATTTGGCATAGATGTAAAAACAGCCTGGAAGAATACCAAAGCTACTAATTAAGTTTTTTTTTAATTCCACGCTGACGGACTTGTGGCTGACAACTCGTTTGCCTTCTCATATGAAAAATAACCTAACCATAGATAAATAACTATACTTGGACTGAAATTCGATAGTTATTAGTGATGGAATCGCTATAGTCTGTAATAATTCAATCATTCGATATCTGTAGAATTTTCGGTACAAATATTCAGTTAAATTTCCGTAGTTGCTGAATGAAATTCCATTGATTTATGAGCATTACAAGCAAAATAGCAAATCGTTTAGAAATTTCATCGTAAAATAATACACAAAAAGAAATAAATCTTTCAACGTATAAGTTCTTCTTTTTGTTATACTTTTCTTTACGTTTCACTGATGGGGAAATATATATGACGTAGATAATATCCTAATTATCTTTGCATTTGGTTATATTTTACGGGGTTCGTTTCTACGATAAAAAAAAAGTAAAATAGAAAGAGAAGTTGACAAATACGTGGTAAAATCTTCCAATTAACACATTGTGTTGAGTGGGCGAACGGATCGGGCATTTTGCTGGCCGCCGGCCGGGCCGCGCTGAACCCTCTCCGCGTCGAGCCGAGTGCTCAAACACCGCAGGGTTGCCATTTAATAATAACTATGGTTTTTGGTAGATTTTTTGAAAGTTCAATTTCATAAAAATTGCATAAATAAGTTCATTAGTTAATATACATACAAATAATTTAAAATACATATGTAATATGTTGATGTTACGAGTTTTTTGTCAAACCTTATTTAATAATACTTTTATGGGCTATTTGGCTACTTTTTAATTTTACTGATAGGGTGAATTATTAATAGGAATGGTGAAACCATTTTTTTTAATTTATCATTACTTTCATCAATATTTTGGTTATTCAAGCCGTGAGATAGAGGGTGTTTGTTAATTAGGAAAAACAAATCCTTAAAGCCTTTTGGATTATTTTTGTGGCAAAATAGAGCAGTAATTTTAGCAAAAGATTTTATAATCATGCAAGCCCTGCCCGCGGCCCGCGCAGCGCCGCACGAGGAGGGTAGCAGCCTCCCGGGTCGATGACCTCTAACCTAATTTCTCCGTAGACAATCCCGCCCAATTTTATTTTTGAATTTTTGGATTTAGGCAAAGGTAACTAACATTATTCGGTCAGTGTTAAATGCACTCAGATAATGAATTAAATGTTATATTTTTTTGTATAAGAAAATCGATAGTTGATTGAGGGTGGCGTTCATTGAGGGGTGTGGAGGGAGTGGCTTGGGGTGTGCGGGGGTGTAGGGCGTGAGGGCGCGTGCGCGGGGCGCGGCGGGTCGCGGGCGGGAGCGGGGGCAGGCGGGCACGCTGCCACGCGCGCTCCTCACACGCCGCCTGACGCCCGCCGCCGCTGCTGCGCCGCTCGTCTCCACCATATTGTCCTGTCACAGCAGTACGTCCAGGCTACTGCTGCGCCGGGACAAACCGGTGGGGACGTAGCCCATACTACGATCCAGATCACCGAGAGCTCTCCAGATGTATACTGTATTGTCCAAAATTTTTGTGTTGTTTTGTTTGTCTTGTGTGTTCTGTTCTCAGGTCCAGCGAGCTGCCGGTTGTTGAACTTTGTTAGCGAGGTTAAAGCTGAAGCCACAGTGTTGTGTGTGCCAGTGACATATGTGGGTGTGACTATCATATTCAAGTTTTATTGTCTTTTACATGTTGTAGTTTGACGTGGGATTAATGTTTAACCGGCCGGAGGGTGCACGTATCGAGCGAGGCTCCGCGCATGCGCCCGCCATCTTCCACTGCATCCAGCCGTGGCCATTTTCTTATAGGGGTGGATAATATGAATAAAATCGTCCGCATCTCTCACCCTCTTCACGGTTAAGAACAATGGAAGAGCCTTAACGATGTACTAATATTATTTCTTCAATTTCAGCTTTCTCATTTTTAATCCTGACAAAACCATAGAGTTACAGATTGATTCACGCGTCAATTAGATTCAAAGTTAGCTTTCATTCATATTAGAGATTCTATTTATAGGTCAAAGTGGCGCGAATTATACAAAATGAATATTCAACAGTTTATTTTAACATATAATAAACAGTACCGGTTTTTTGGCTCAAAATATAATGAAAACCGATAAATATAAGAAACAATTTATCGGTTTTTTACATCACTATACCTGATCTATTAATGTTATAAATGTAATTGTAAATTTATATCAATTGTAAAATTCCTGATGAAATTACGTTTAAATAAATAGCAAAAATAACACGATTTAGTTTTTTTTTAAACTTCAACTCTATAGAACGGTGACTTAATTTTCATCTTAATCCCCATTCAAAGTTGTCAAACAGTTTTTTTCGTTAAACTATTTAAAGAGACACTTTGAAAACGGTTTTCATTACAGATGTTTATAAAATGAAACACACAGAGGAGATTTCATCTCAAACCTACAACTTGTTTCCTATCCTAGTCTCCTTTGAACTCTATTCATAACATTATATAATATAAAGATTTTATATATCATGACAATCTTTAATACTCCTGGAAAAATTAATAGAAACAAACTCTCATAAAATATAAGTACGCTAACCCGAGCTGTTGTTCAAATAGCTTATAAACAGTATACCACTTCCAGGGCGCCATGTAGGGCGGGGCGCGATGACTCATTCTGTCCTTATGTCACTTTTATATACGTACAATAACCTAAATTTAGTAGCTTTTAGCTTATTGAACTTCGTTTACTTACAAAAATGCTGAAATAATTAGTCATTTTTCTTAAATAATGAAAAATAAATGCAAGGCTAGATGCGGGTACAGGATCGATCATCGTGGTAATATTTGGAAGAGGCTTATGCCCAGCAGTGGGCAGGCACGTTGCTAAGAATAAGATACGTAAAGCAACTGTTCTATACTCTATAGATTCGAGTCATGTCGCTCAGACAAAACACAGAAGTTAAATTCTTATATTCCCTGTCTTCTATTTGTGACAATTTATTGATTAAAATGGTCAAACATGTTGCACATTTCTTGCGATGTTTCTGTCATTTATATTTACAATAAATTTATATTTAATCTATGCCATTAATTGATGAATCTGGCAACATTATACATAACGGTAATGACGTTCTTACTTCACGGAATGACGTCGTAAAATATTATTTATGGTAGGAAAGGTCGTTAAAATTATAATTATGTCAGTCGAGTGAATTGTGCTCCTCATTATGGACGTTACAATCGATACGTTGATTCTTTAGGTGAACGAGAAATGTAAATTTTCGATAATATTACTGGAGATATGTATTGAAAGTGATTCGCTACTTTAATGGAATGTTGCGTCCAAATTCTAAAATTATTAGAACAAAATACATCAAGACAAGATCAACTGAAATTATCTTTAAATCAACAAACAAACAAAAGAAGTTATAGAATTTAAATTTACTCGTAAATAATAGTTAATCGGTTCAATGTATCAAACCGTTTCGGTAAGTTTTCTGTTTGTTGAATATTTTTATAATTAATTTCATAAAAGAAAAAACTCGTTGTATAATACTGGTCGAAAACCGTTTGCAAAAAATAGAAAAAGTAAAAAGTCATTTCTGATTTGCAAAAACGCGGTAAAGTCGTTCATGAACTATATCCATTGCTAACTATTTATAGTTGAGTATAATTTAGGCTTTGCTGGAAATA